CACTCCTTGGCAAATAGAAGGGGAAGTCGTGGAAGTAGTGACAGACTTCACGTTCCTGGGATCCCAGATCACCGCAGACTGTGACAGCAGCCATGAAATTAAAAGACGCCTGCTCCTTGGGAGGAAAGCGATGGTGAACCTAAACAGCATGATAAAAAGTAGAGGCATCACCCTGCCAACAAAAGTCCGCATGGTCAAAGCAATGGTATTCCCAGTAGTCATGTATGGCTGCGAGAGTTGGACTATAAGGAAGGCCGAGCAGGAAAGTGATGGCGAACCTAAACAGCATGATAAAAAGTAGAGACATCACCCTGCCAACAAAAGTCCGCATGGTCAAAGCAATGGTATTCCCAGTAGTCATGTATGGCTGCGAGAGTTGGACTATAAGGAAGGCCGAGCGCCGAAGAATAGATGCTTTTGAACTATGGTGCTGGAGAAGACTCTTGAGAGTCCCTTGGACTGCAAGAAGATCAAATCAGTCAATCCTAAAAGAAATCAACCCTGACTGTTCCCTGGAAGGCCAGATAATGAGACTGAAGCTCAGATACTTTGGCCACCCAATGAGAAGGGAGCACTCACTGGAGAAGACCCTGATGCTGGCAAAGATTGAAGGTCAAAGAAGACGGGGACGGCAAAGGATGAGATGGTTAGACAGTGTCATAGATGCAACGAACATTAAGTTGAACAAACTTCAGAGGACGGCGGAAGACCGGAGGGCCTGGCGTGATCTTGTCCATGGGGTCGCGAAGAGTCGAACTCGACTGTGCGACTGAACAACAACAAAAGTGGATAGAAGGGTTAAACACTGCCTCTAACTCACCCACTCTGTCCACATCATGGCTGCCCCCCCCTCCAAGCAAAAAATTTCTGGCTATGGGCCTGTAACAATATAAAACCCAAACCTCCCCCAAAGCCAAATACAGTATGTACATATCCTATTTGTGAGTAATATAACTCCTGCCTGGAGCACTTAAACCCTTAAACCTTAAATTCTTTCCGGCTAAACCACAGCTTAAGATTTTTTTTTGGTAGAAGAGAGAAGCAATCTGTTTATTAAGACTGCTGATCAGCTGTTTCTCTATATATTGGTACCAACCGAGGCCGACAGGAAAGAAATGCTGATTTATCTCAAGAACGCATTCCTATTTTTGTCAGTGTGAATGATGCAGAGGAAATTAAGATTTTGAGAATATGCATATGTTTGTTGTACATAATAGGATCATTACTGTCATCAAAAGAAATCAGACGTGTGCAATTATAATCCTGAGTTTCCATTTTCTTTCTGGGGAAAGAAATTCTTCATAACTATCCTTTCTTGATCTCTCTATGCAAGCATTGTTGTGCTTTTAGTTTTCACTTTTGTTTGTTTGTTTTTCCCGGTTTCCCTCCTGTTTCTTTTGAGACCCCTTTTAACGCAATGTTTTTTTAGGAAGCCAATTTTGAGTCCTCTTTTTCCTTTTGTGTAATCTTTCTGTCAGATTTCCCTTGTCCTGCCTACTCCCACCCACCTCCAGCCCACTGTTGGATGATTGGACTGTTGTCATCGTCAAACCACTCCCTCTCTTCCCCCTCCTGCCCTGAAGATGAGTGGTTTCATTTTAAGTACTAAAATATTGATTCTTATTGAATCTTATTGATATATTGCTAGAGCATTGTAACAACAGGTGTAGCAGGTTCTCTGAATTCCCAACTTTCATCCTAAAGAAGTCTATCCCTTTCCCTTGTGGAGTTATGTCTTTTGCTTTACATCTCTGCAAGGGAAGTGACTAGCAATTTACTTTTAAAAAAAAAAAAGAGAGAGAAAGCTGGGGATTCAGAGAAACTGCTTAAACTTATCAAATGTCCTGAAGGCATTGCACTGGCTGCCAATAGCATACCGGATTCGCTTCAAGGTGCTGGTTCTTACCTGTAAAGCCCTGTACTGCCAGGGTCCGACATACCTGAGGGACCGCCTTTCCCCATATATATCCCAGAGAGCACTTCGGTCAGGGTCACAGAACGGATTGGCCCTTCCAAGGTCCCAAGGATGCCAGAGCTTTCTCGGTGGTGGCTCCATACTGGTGGAATGAGCTCCCGGGGGAGAGCAGGGCCCTGTGGGACTTTGTACAGTTCCGCAGGGCCTGCAAGACGGAGCTCTTCCGCCAGGCTTTCAATTAGGAGCCGCTGCCACCATTACCATCACCACCATTATCACCATCACCACCACTTCCATCATGGTCAGTATTAACATCTTTGAATAACAATTTTGCTTTACATCTCTGCAAGGGAAGTGACTAGCAATTTACTTTTTTTTTTTTTTAAGAGAAAGCTGGGGATTCAGAGAAACTGCTTAAACTTATCAAATGTCCTGAAGGCATTGCACTGGCTGCCAATAGCATACCGGATTCGCTTCAAGGTGCTGGTTCTTACCTGTAAAGCCCTGTACTGCCAGGGTCCGACATACCTGAGGGACCGCCTTTCCCCATATATATCCCAGAGAGCACTTCGGTCAGGGTCACAGAACGGATTGGCCCTTCCAAGGTCCCAAGGATGCCAGAGCTTTCTCGGTGGTGGCTCCATACTGGTGGAATGAGCTCCCGGGGGAGAGCAGGGCCCTGTGGGACTTTGTACAGTTCCGCAGGGCCTGCAAGACGGAGCTCTTCCGCCAGGCTTTCAATTAGGAGCCGCCACCACCATTACCATCACCACCATTATCACCATCACCACCACTTCCATCATGGTCAGTATTAACATCTTTGAATAACAACTTTAACAACTTGTTGATAATGGAAACCTGGCGCCTGGTCTATTACTGGCAGCCTGTGCCCATCGGTCAAAACTGAGAATGGCCATCAAGCTGAATGTCTATATAGGAACTCTCTTTAATACCGTAACAGCGTTCCGTGCGCCTTGGTGTTTAGTCATGCCAGCCACATGACCACGGAAACGTCTCCGGACAGCGCTGGCTCTTCGGCTTGGAAACGGAGATGAGCACCGCAACCCTAGAGTCGGATTCGACTGGCTTTCGAGCAAGGGAACCTTTACCTTTAATACCATAAGTTACCATCTTTAATACTATAAGTTAGTCACTAGCACTTTATATGATGTAAGTTAGTTTTAATGAATTGTTTTAGATACTTTATATTTATTGTATTGTGTTTTTATGACGTTAGCCGCCCTGAGCCTGCACAAATCTAAATAAATAAATAAAATGTAATATTGATATTTTAGTGTCTTTTAAAAATGCAGTCACGATATCAATCATATTGATAAAAGCTTGTGCAAAAAAAAAAAAAAGGTCTACGTGTGCTTTGCTGACGACACCCCCCCTCCCTCGATAATCCTGATTATTTAAAGCATGTGTGGAAGAAAATAAACTGACTCTACAACTGTGAAAATGCAGACAGGCATGCAGAAGAACTGTGCTCAAACCGATTACAATGTTTGTGGGTCGACTGCCAAGAAAATCAGGAGTAAAACAAAAGAGCGGAAACGCCCTCGGTTAAGGGACACAGAGCACCCCACGGACTGCACACCTCTCCCTGGCATGAGTGCCCCCTTCTCTTTTTGCCCTAATTGGCATTACATCCTGGTAACTGCAGCTAACGCAACCCCAGGGGCACTCCAAAACTAACTTCTGGAATCCCCCTTCTCACTGGCTCTTTGTTAAGCACAGCTCTTGTCAGGCGTAATACCAACCCAGAGATCGAGCCGGCTGCCAGAAATCTAGTTAAAGAGCATATATAACTTTTGCTCTGGCCTCAAGAGTTCATTTGCGAAGACTTGAGGTTTCCTTAGGACAATCGCTTAAGCTGGAACTACTCAGGACATGCAATTAGGTGTAAATTTGTCTCGGTCTTCCTTCCTGTTAAACCACAAGGAGATGCAGAAGTCGCAGTGTTTAACAGAGGACCACAGAAAGGAGCTACCTGACCACTTCCTCTCCAGCTACTTTCCCACTGTTTCGCAACGTTGCGGATAAAAAGATAGCTCGAGACCATTCCCTTCCCGAATTTAAGCAGAAAACCAGTTGGGAGGAAAAGGTTAAATCCGCCCTTCCCTCCACATAAGGCCGTACCTCCCAGAAATGGCTTTTGATTTTTTTATAAAAAATGTCAGGTGACACAACAGTCGCATGCATACATCACATGTCATCTCAGTTTCGGAGGTGCTCTGCAAGAACCTCACATGCACACGACCCCCATCAATAAAACTGGAATGAAATGTATTTATCTATACCCAGACAAACTACTGGCCATACATAAACATGCGCCCAAAAGGTTTTGCCTAGAAACAGCTGTCTGAGTAAGCCCGAAGTCCAAATCATTCCAGTGTTCCGGAAAGTACAAATTACATTTTCCAGGATAATGAAAACGTTGCCTCATTAGAGAGAGAGTTTTACCAGACAGAAATGCTGACCCTGATTAAACTCACTGTATCATGCCCCCCAACAGTATTATACCATAGGCCCATAATCACTCTGACAGAGAGATTATTATGTAACACTGACATTTCCACTTGAAGGGAAAGGAAAAGGACACTACGTACACAGCCACTCCACAAAAAAGAGATTCCTTTCACTTCTTTATAGTTAACACTAAGTAGACCCCTAAGCCCAGCTCCTGACATTCATACAATACAGGGACAATAAAGTCACATTCTGAAAATGAAATGAATATCCACAATTTATTACTATCAAATGGTTTAATTGCACTGTTGGGTTCTGAACAATGTATTTAAAAATTCTCCTTGTTCTATTATTTTACTTCACAGAATGGCCATGGTTTTTCAGGACTGTAGGTAAGGAAGGATGTGAAATAATCCCCCCCCCCGTTTGTTGAGAAAAGCCAACTAAAGGGAGATTCCCACACATCAGCACCAGTATTCCCTCTAAGCTGAGTTAGTGTGAGCTACCTCACAGTTTTTTAGCCTCTAGCTCACACATTTTCGTCTTAGCTCAGGAAGGATGGCTCCAGAGCAAACTAATATGTGCAGTAGTCAAATCGCTCACTCACAACTTTAATGCCCATAACTCACAAAGTAGATTTTTTGCTCACAAGACTCCACAGCTTAGAGGGAACATTGATCAGCACATGAAGCTGCCTTACACTGAATCATAAGAGTTGGAAGGGAACTCCAGGGTCATCTAGTCCAACCCCCTGCACAATGCAGGAAATTCACAAATACCTCCCCCACACACACACACCCAGTGACCGCTGTTTCACACCCAGAAGATGACAAAAACCTCCAAGATCTCAAACCAAACTGGCCTGGAGAAAAACTGCTTCCTGATCCTTGGTCCATCAAGGTCAGTATTGTCTACTCAGACTGGCAGCAGCTCTCCAGGGTCTCAGGCGGAAGTCTTCCAGTTTACCCACTACCTGGTCTTTTCAACTGGTGCTGCTGGGGATTGAACCTGGGACCTTCCACGCGGCGAGCAGATACTCTACCACTGAGCTACGGCCCCTCATGAACAACCAGCCTCCCTATCCCCACCACCATTGCCTTACCATGAACTCTTCCAGGGTCTGATAGGTTTTCCCCCGGAACTCGCAGTAGTTCTTCCTCTCCTTGCACTGCGGGCAGCACTGACTAGTGTCCACGTGAATGCATCGGGGGTGGAGCCTAGGGCACTCGGGCTGAATGCACAGCGGGCCCTCTTCCGTGCAAAGGCAAGGGCAAGCAGAGGGACCCGGTGTAAACTTCTCCCCGATAGCATATACGAAGCCACTCTCATCCACACAGCCTTTCCCACGGTAGTCCGGATAAGCGTACTCCTCCGGAGGTTCCGGGGTCGTACTCGCAACGGCATCCAAAAAGGAGGATTCTTCCGCAACCGGAAGCTCCTCTTGAACACCATCCATCTGCTCTCGGGCTTGGAGGCTCCCAAATTTAACGCTGGTTGCCTGGCTACTCACGGCTTGTTTTTGTTTAGTCCAAAATTCCTTATTAGAATAATTTCTGCTGCTCTTGTTCTTCCAGTCTCTGGTACCCTCCTCTCTACCATTCCTGCCGATTTCACTTGTTTTCCCCGGTCCTGTCTGGTTCTGGTTCTCCCGGGCTGATGCGTGGTCCCTCTTTTCTTGGCTCATCTTGATCTCTTGCTTGTCTTGAGCCTTGGCCAGTTTTTGGAAAGGGGCAGTGGAGCTACAGAGAGCAACCATCAGGCAGCAGGTCACGAGGAGGGAGCTAGAAAGAGCCCCAATGGCCATCGCAGTAGAGCTGGGCATCACCTATGGCATCCCAGGGGGGGGCAGGGATCGCTTCCTCCACTTCAAAAGGAATCAGTCTGTCAATCCACAGTCCCTGGGGAGAGATCATTGAGGACATTTTCAATTTTCCGTCTGTACCTTTTCATAGTCAACAGTATTACGTCTACAAGGAGAAATAAATTAATGTGGACCAGCACAAGTCTTAAACTTCAGAGATTCCCTTCAAACTACAGCTCAGCTACTGATTTATTTTTGCAATCCTTGTACAGGTTGCTACTTCTCGGCCTCAGTTCTCTGTCTCTAAGATGGGAATGACAATTTACGTCATCCTAAGCAGTCTGTAGACACAGGATAAGTCAGAGACCTGCCATGTGAACCCCTGTAAATCACTAGGGAAGGGGGGGGGAAATCAATGTAACGCTTAAGGGTATCCAGGGTATTTGGATAATCAGACATTCATACAAGGAATGTTATTTATAAAGTGATCACATTGACTAGGGGGAGGGTCTTACGTGTTGGGGTTGGGGGAAGAAGACCGTCACAGTATTCATGTAACCAGGAATTCGAAACAAGCCCTGTACAACAGCTTTAAACTATTAATTTTACACTTGTAGGGAAGAAAAACCACACAGCGGGGTTTGTGTGATCTGGATACATACAAAAAGAAACGAATCTCCCCAAATCACAGCAGACTCCACAGCAAACAACCACCGGTACATTTCCACTTTTTGGCTGCCCATACCATGTTGCTCATTAATCGTTCATTCAATCTGATCAAAACTGCCTCATGACAGGGAACGGAACGATAGCCTTTATTTTAAAAAGAAACCCACCCAATCTCCAAAAATCCAAATGAAGTTCAACACACCGTAGCCAAACTTGTGCGCAAATTCTCTCCATAGAATCCCCCGTTCTCTTTCTTATTTACAGAATGCTAGTAGCTAAAGGACTGCATCGTATAGTGTTATTTAGAAGCAAATACTTCATCAGCAGTCCTACACCATAAATTCCCCAGACGTAAATCCACAGGAAGGGTAAAAACTGTATATCATTCCTTCCCCCTCCCCTCACATTAGCATCTCTAGTATTCAGCCTCTTCTGTGGTTAAAATTTAACTCTGTATCTACACATCTCCTTTCTAATGCATATGCACCTGCAGACTTTAATCCTTATCCGGCATTCAGAGCAGAAATCGACTATGGCAGACACAGCAGCACTATGGTTAATTCAGAATATTCCGATTGAAGTTCACGGTCTGCTCAAGAATAAATCATTTGAAGGGCTGCCTTCTTTAACTTACTGCGATACTTCTAACCACAGAAATGCATTGATAATTTAGGTTAAGGGTGAGGTTTTCAAAAAACCCATGCAACAATCTCTCTCTCTCCCTCCATATATCTAGGTATGCGGCGAAGTCAGAGGCAATGACTGGAAAACCAAATAAGAATCATTGTGATACAGTGAACTCTTAAGTCCAAGGTTCAAGTCCCACGGAATCGCTTCAGCAACTGTTCACCCTCACGAAAAACTAACAGTATTTTTAGGAGACTAAACATATTGCGGCATAAGCTCCCAAGAGCTACGGCCAGGTTAAGCCGAAAGACTCTCGAAACTGAGACAGCCTAGTTTTCTCCCCCGTCCGAGGTATGAAGGTGGTTTTTAGAAAGGATCATGGTTCACAGCGTATGTGTTCCCATGTGCTTTTTTTAAAGAACAGGACAACCTATTTGACCAGGGGCAACAGTGGGACAAAGAAAAGAGATTCACCCTCGGTGGGAAGAGAGGCTTCCTTCAAGCTGCCTTTTTTAACTGCCCCCCCCCCCCCCCCGCTGGTCTGCTGCAACGGAGGCTACTCTTCTGGAATCTCTTCAGCCTCAGTTTCCCTTTTAGAAAGCAGGAAGCTACTCACCAGGTCTGTGATGGAGATAAAGGTATTGTGCACACTTTTAAAAGGTGCCGGATCAATGACAAAATAAGACTCAGAGACCTGGTTCGAGGTTCATGTGTAGGGACCGGCAACTCGTGAGTAAAAAGAGGGATGCAAGCGATTAATATTTCCCAAGAGAACAGCAGGGAACAGCAGCTAAAACTCGTGAGTAAAAAGAGGGATGCAAGCGATTAATATTTCCCAAGAGAACACCCCCCCAATATACTAGTCTGAGACTGCACAACCGATCCTATCCCTCCACCCGGGGTTGCTTTTTAAGTACAGCAGCAGCAGCATCTCCCTGGCCCTTCATTCAGCAAGACGGAACAAGACCTCCCTGCCTTTCGAGGGGTCTTCCTAGGAGACCCAGGTTCGAATCCTGCTTTGCCGCGAAACTTACCGGGTGACCTTGGGCCAGCCCTTCCGCCCACCTAGCCTGGCCTACCTCGCAGGGTCGCTGTCGGGATGAATCTTCCTAGGAGACCCAGGTTCGAATCCCGCCTTGCCGCGAAACTTACCGTGACCTTGGGCCAGTCCTTCCGCCCGCCTAGCCTACCTCGCAGGGTCGCTGTCGGGATGAGGGAAAAAGCCGAGGAGGCTGCACGCCGCCACCCCTGAGCTCCCAAAACCGGGAGGGAAGGTGGAGAGAGAGAGAGAGAGCAGAGGGCGATGGCACGCACCCACGGAGGGTGCCCCATCCCACGGAGCGTGCATCCTTTCGGTTCCTTGCCGGGTCCCGTGTCAAACGCAGCCAAGCCCAATTTGAAAAGTGCTTA